CAGAAACTCTTTTGGCTTCCCGAAACGTTTCGGAAAATGAACTTACACTAAGCAGAAAACTAAAACTAAAACTAAACCTAAACATAAACAAAAACTACTAACCTAAACTAGTTTCGGGTGATTTCTGTTAGTTTCTGTTTCTGGTTTTCCCTAAACTCAGAGTTTCGGGTCACAACACTGCTTGTAACCCAGTCTGGAATAGAGACATCAATGCTTCATTATATTGCAACTTATATGGCAGCCAGATATTTTCACACAATCAAAATCAACCATTAGTTACCTTTCTACTTGTTAACCATATACAACAATATAAATATAAAAATTATTTGAAAAAAAATTATGAATGTTGAGTGAGTAGTGATTGTTATTATTCGAATTAATATTAATATCAGTTTGTTTTAAATTTAAAATAAAGCAACAATTAATTCCTTTAGTCATATAGACTAAATAATAATTATCCATCTTTTCAACATCATTATCTTTTCTTTCGAGTTTCATTTGAAATAATTTGCCAATAAAGATTCATAAACATCAAATGTCAGATAACAGTTCAAGCTCTAGCTCTTCAAATGACAAAAAAAATAAAGGCTTGTCCATCTTCACATTTAATTGCAATCCCTATTGGATTTAAATGTAAGATTGCAATAAATAATTTCATGATGGCAGAGCCACATCAAATATCAATGAGCCTCTTACACTCTAGTGAAAAAGAAAAGGTATATTTTTTTTCAAACAATTGAATAATTGGAATTCAACTTGTAATATTTTTAAATATCTAAATTAAATAATTCAAATTGAAATTGAAATTACCTAAAAATAGACAATTAATTATCTAAGAGGCAAAATGATTTATTAAGAACCTTTTTGTAATCAAAGATCCTTTTAAAGATTCGTATATGGTTTAAACTTTGATTTTCTTTACCAAATGTTATTAACATTAACCAAATAGAAGAGAAAATTTCAATGGCTTTCAAATATACTGAAGTTACAATTGAAAAATATATTATATGGTGATAACGTTTCAATGTTCTCAATAATTACAGGTTCCTGATGTCAAAAAGTAAAGTTTATTGATCAGCAAAGTTCACAAAAAATAACCTTACCCAAGAAAATTTGTGTGATAAAAAATTTTCTACTTGGTCAATAACTTGGAAAATAGACTCACAATTTAACAAGAATCAAAAAGTTTTATTATTTATAATTTAGCTTTAAGAAATAAAATAAAGATAAAATAAAAAGGCAAACAATTATAACGAATAATTTATAGTGGAGATTAAATTAGTCATTCATCGATACTTTCTTTTAATTGTTAGAATCAGGTGCAATCAAATGTAAACAAAGAATATCATTAGTAATAATTAATGAATAGTAAGTTCCAATTAATTAATTAAAAATGAAATTTTTATTTACCTTCAACATTCTAGAGGAGTTAAAATCAAGATTATTTAACGAACTATCATTACTTGTATAAATTTTCAAAGCTTTTTGATTTAGCAACCACTTCATCTAATATTCTACTTGTATGATATGCACTCGGATGTGATTCATGTACTTGTTGCAAATCACTACTACCATCACTACTAATAGTATTATTACCCTTATCATTATTATTTTTAAAAACTTCATTATGTCTATTTCTAGCAAAATCATAAATAAAGCTCTCTACTAGTCGGTTCTTTTTGATGGATCCACATCCCAACACCTCTGCATCATTTGTGCATAATCTTCAGGCATTCCAGACAATAATAATGGTGGTCGTAAACCTTCTGCACATATATCAAAAATTAACAAATGGTGGTGTTCCTTTTCTATGTCTCGAGTTTTCTTGGTAAAAAAGATAAAGGTCCTAATTGATTGGATTTTTGATTGGGCTCTTGATAATCTGATCCTGATTCCGTCGGTTTGATTTCATATTTGGTGTTTTATTGTTTTCGCGTTAGAATTCTCAACCTTATCAACCTTTCTTCTGATTTATATTATCCATTGTAATTTTGTTACAACAAATATTTCTTCATTATTCTTATTCTACGCTATAATAGATTTTCAAGCTTCTACTTTCATCTTGTCTTATTATTATTATGTGGTCTGGACAATTTTTCCATGTGTGTTCCAAATTCCAAATGTAATAGATGTGGTGATGTTGATTGTTTTTGCATTGAACCCAAATCTTCTCTTACATACAATCCGGCTTTTAATGGTAATTGTGCATGTGGTTCAAATAATCTTCAAAGATGTAGGTGTGTCAGAGTGATGGGATGTGCAGTTATCCAACTACTATTAATAAACTTAATGATGCAAAAATGGTCAATCTAACAAAGTTCATTGTCTTCATTCCGCAAATTGGGCATGTGGAACACTTTGCAACTGCGTTCCTCAGACTGTTGTTATAAAGACATTTACGGCTAAACCTGACCTATTGACACGATTATTCAGTGGTAAGTAATGATTTTGTTCTTTGAGGGATTAAATTATTATTTCTAGCAGGTGCTTATGTATTACCACAAACTTGAAGGATCAAGAGATTGTTGTCACTCTCCAAGGAACCACTGACGTAGTAAATGTGATCAAGGATGTAAAAGCTTCGCAGGATCTACATCAACTTCTGCACCTTCTGGCTATTATCCTCTTCCACTTGACATTTCTTATGCCCAAGTTTATTATGGTTTTTACTTGAAATAATTTGCTATAATATTTGCCTTGATGATTGAATTTATGTCTAATATCATGCATATAATACTAAATTAACACAATGAGCTATACATCTCACATTAATAATATGCTTATCCTTGCTAGTCAGTCCTTCCATTTTTGATGATGTTAGCACCATTATCACTAACAATTGCTGTGATTTTTTTTGTTTAATACATTCAATGATTTTGTTAAATACTTCTGCTAAAAATTCGCCAATATGAGAGACAGAAGAAAAATCTGAAACATAATATAAAAATTCTTTTCTTTCAGGTGTCATTATCGTGAATTTCCATAAATTTGAGCCATTTGGACTCGTCCATCCATCTGTCCCAAGAGTAATATTTGTTGTATTTTATAATATATTATCAAACTTTTGATTCACTATTCCAACTTTACTATCCAACAATCTACCTGACAACATTCCACGAGAAGGTGAATTATAGCCAGGATTTGATTTTAATAAGTTAAAAAATGGAAGTTCACAACAAATAAATACAATAGTCAAAGCTACATCAATTTGTTGTTGACGTGAAGGTTCAATTGATAATAGGAATCAAATTTAGATTGTTAATCATTATTAATTTTTTTATTGTTTGATGTAAACTTCACCCAATCATTGGGGATTTCATATGAATCACCACAAGAGTTGTCATGTATATTATTCACAATGATCCAATTATAATATTGCTTAAATATCCTCCACATTTATTGCATTCATTTGCTAAATGGAAATGTAAGACTCCAAGTTTTGCGAATGACTATTTTTTATGACAATGTATACATTTACCTTTTCTTCACCTTGAATGAATCGTCTCCATACACCTGTTTATAGTCATTTTCAGTATTTACAGAACTATAAATACATTTACATATTAAAGATTTGACACTTGGTTGCAAATAGTATGACAACTTGGGTTTCTAGATACGACTTCTGTAAATCTGATTTACAAACAGCATCATTAACTCACTCCATCATCATCACCATCATCATCATCATCATCATCAAATAAAATACTCGTGGCATTTTTGTCATCGTCATTACCATCAGAATCTAATTCTGGCAACCTTGCCTTTAAATTTCTTTCTCGATTTCTTCATCTGATCTAACATTTTCATTAACAAGTATCAGTGTATCTGGATCATCGTCATCACCTTCATATGTCTACAAAACGCATTTATATTTTTGGTAATTCTGTTGTAAATGAGATGAGAATATTGCATAAAATAATTAATGGGTGACATTTAATGAACCAATGGTTAAACCCAAATATTGCCGAAAATTAGAATTTCTGTTGGTGTTAACTGTATCAGAGTTTTTGTATTTTTATGATTAATAAATTCCGAAAAAAATTTGGAAAGTATCACGAGGATTGATATTGTTCAATATAATGCTTGCTTATGATATTTGTTAAAAATAAATCTTGTCAAATATTATTTTTTTTCCATTGAAATTTATGAACAATTGTTGTCTTTTGAGCTCTAATAATTTCATTGAATACTCTTTCTTTCTTTCTCTCTCTATTACATCAACGTTATTATTGTCAACACGTATCATCAACACATTGTTATCAACGTTATCATCAACGTGTATCATCAACGTGTATTGTCAACATGTTATCATGTTATCAGCAACGTGTATCATCAACACGTTACCATTTTTGTCAATGTGTATCATCAACACGTTATTATCAATGTTATCATTAACTAAATTGTGTACCCATACAAGATTGTAGAGAAATCATACTAATAATTCATTATTTCAAATGTATAGTGGAATCTGTTTTTCATAATTGAAATGCTTTTTATTTTATTTTTAATATATATTTTGTATTTTTTTATTTTTAATATATATCTAATTTTTAATTTATTTTATTATTGGTTTAATAAATTAAAAAAAAATAAAATAATTTTTTTTATTAAAAATAATAAAAGTTTTAACGTTACCATGCAACAGCTCCTCTGATCAGGTACCCAACCGATATGAATACCCTCTCAACATGGAAATCCGTTACACAGCCGACTTCGCACACCGTGAGGAATGGTCAGTCAGAAGCCTACCATGTCTTTACTTATACCTTCAGTCTGCAAGGCGAATAACTGGATCTTACAGCTCCAACGTCAACCCCAAGATCCCCCATACATGGACTAGCGCCTGATTCCTGATCAAGGAGGCTTATGCTAATCCATATATAAGAAACCCTGTAACTGAAGATTGATACCAGTGATCAGCTAATATCGAATAATCAGCTATCTACCAATAATGCAAAAAATTTGAATTATATATTTACTGAAAATTTTTTTTTTTTTAATTATGGGATACTAACACACTCATTTAACAATATTTCATTGGATAAATTCTATTTACTAAATAAATTTTTTTTTATTTTCTTTATTATCATACAAACAAATGTCAATTCCAAAAACATAGAGTATTGCAACTGTGCAAAAGTCAAAAGGTTTCGCCATAAGTCGAAACTGGTTTTGACTTTCGACATATAACTTTTAGTTTTAGCTTTGACTTTCATCTCTTTGGTGACCGGCACTAATATAAACATAAAAAAATTTCAAAAATATACTTGACGACTGTTTTAACAATTATTCAATGTAGAAGTTGTATGGTGGCGGATTTGTGGGAAGTAACTGTTAAAAAACAAGATGCATGATTTATGAAGATTCCAAGTTTTGTATATAATATTTTCCTTTCTTTTTTATTTACGATCAACATCCATGAATCTATAACGCACATAATAAATGATATTATATTCTCCTGCTATAGCAGTAATAAGGATCCCATTTCAAAATAATCATTTATAATATAATAATTATTTATAAGTAAAGGAAAATAGAAGAAAATAGTTGTCAAGTATGTCGAATTAATAAGTCAAGAAAACGGAGAGGGTTGTCAGAAGTTGCATCAAAAAAATATAATAATGAAAAGGTAAAACCTAAATACAGGTTTTTTTGTTCTTTACCATATATTTAATTGCGAAGTTTTGATCGTCCTTTACTTTTGACTTGAAGATTTAATGAATCAGATTTTTCTTTATTATCAAGAAGTTTATCAACACGCTTTTTGTATGCACCGATACCATCGCCAGCATCATCTAAATTAGACGGTGTAAACTTTTCTATATCAATATAACCATCATCTTCAGATTATGCATGTTTTCTGAAACTGACATATTTGGAAATGGTATGCTTTAAGCTTTGCAAATGATTTCTTTGTTTCTTTAATCTGGTTTTTGAATGTTTTATGCAATACATTATAACTTCATTACAACGAAGTGGTTATAAGAAAATTTCATTTAAGATTCGTTGAAACTAGAGTAGATTCATTGAAACAAGTATGCATGTTGATTGATAATCAGAATAATTTATAATAATAGGATTTATTATGAATTTCTTCTAAAACCGGTTTACTTTTTTTAGATTTTTTAGCTTCTACCAAGACATCCCCAAATACATTGATCATCATAATAATAATAACAAAAAAATTATACTGTTTCGTAGCTAAAGTTCTAAAGATTTGCAGATAAAATTTTCCAGTCCAGAACCTTATCATCAATTAAAAATAAAATAAATTTTAGAAAAACAAATTTAACATGATAATTGCTCTAAAGCCTGCATAATAATATGTTTGTATGTGATGATTTAAAATTTTCTTGATAATTTTTATTACGTGATTTTTATTACTTTTTAGTTGGAATAAAATCACCATTGTTTGATAATAAAAATTCTTTGTTTTCCTTTATCTTAATAATATTATTATCGCTATGCGAAATTATTATAAAAACCGTGCGTTAATGTTGTTAACTTATATTAATTATTATTAACTTATATATTATTATTATCCTCACATTTAGATGTTTCGTAACATATTTTTCTCAAAAATTTTTTGCATTGTTATTGAGAAAGATTGAGATTCCTCCCAATCGGTACGAATGTAGAAATCATCCTCGTTAATCTCCCGTGGAAAAATAAACATATTCTAATTACCAAAGTTGAAAGCAATGTTAAAAACTCAAAATCTTGGCTCTTGATGTTATTGTCAGCTATCCAACTATTGTAAAACTTGAGCATTTAATAAAATTGATGTATTGAGACAACGTTCTGGTCAAAATCATCCTAATCGTCATTCATGGATCAAAATTGGCGATAATTTCTAAAAAGGATTATTACATTTATCAATTCATTTTATTTCTTGGCTGACTATAAAGTAAATGTATAAGTCCATCCTTCTATGAAATGTCATTGCATATAATTCATCATCCATATATTCAAGAGATACTTTATGCGATTTAAATAATCTTTGTTTTTGTCTAATTGGCACCAAAATAATCTCGCCTTGTGAACATTATAAACATTATAAAAACATCACCAATTCACCTATTCTCGGGAAACAGCTACAAATCCTTCAATAATTATTGTTAACTCAATTTTATCTTTGTTTAAATAATTGATAATTATTTGTTCTAATCAACAATAATTAATAAAAAATGCTTGCCTTCAATAGTGGGCTTTGTTACGTGTTGTTTATTGGACCCTTTTTTGATTTCTTGCTTCACAAAAATCAACTCTATATTATAAAATTGATGAAATAACTATATGAATGCTTTATGACAGTGACTTTGTTACTGGTGTTACTTGTTATTTACTGTTTTAAAGTCTCTATTCAAATAAAAGTTACTATTTGAATTATTTGTAATTGTTTGGTTGAATTACAAACAGAAATTTTATAAGAAAAATTTTTGATGAAATAATCAATAAAATAGAGCCAAGAAAATTAAAATCAAAAATAAATCAATTCGTGATAAAAAATACCCCCAAATTGAAAAAATCTTAATCATCATCTATTTGATAAAAGAGCGAACTGGATCCAGATTTTTCTTTTAACAAAATGGCTCTTGAAGTTCATGAATTGCTTGAACAGAGAGGCGTTGCAGCCTTCTATCAAATCTAAGAGAAAACATTAGAAGCAAACCCAACAGTGGGTTGATAAAGAGAAAATGACAAAGATAATGAAAGCAAAGAGGATACGAATATCAATAATAATATTATCAATAATAATAATAGTAAAAAGAATAATGAAAGTTAGATTTTTGTCGGAGTGCCCAAATACTCACAATGGTTTTGGGTCTGACAATTTTAATTTTTCATATAAATTCCAAGTCATGTGCCAATGATTATAACTTGTTTATTATTGGTCCAAATTATACTTTTAAGAATGACAACCATTTAAAAAAAAAAAGAAAACGAGTACAATGAAACAAAGAACTTGAATAGATTGGAAGAGAGATTTGGAGAATTGAAAAGGGGAACAAAAGGAGAGTATATCAACGAAAAAGAAGATCTAGAAAAAAGGGTAGAAGGATTGGATGGAACAAATGAGCAAATTCTTAAATTGCAGAATAAATTGCTTTCATTAAATGAAAAAAAAGGTAATAAACAAATTGTGTTAAAAAACTATACAAAAAATCATTTTCTCTTGTCCCATTTCATTTATTTATTATTTATCCATTTACAACTCTAATTAACTCTTACTTTCTTTGGTTTTTTTCATATATTCATCTATCCATGGATGACTTAACCATCAGAAAAAGATATACATATTTGTTTCATTTCCAATTTGGTTTAAGCTAATATTTGTGAGTTTAGGTTTAATGCAAGTTTTTGCCATTAGATTACAATGTTTAGTTTATCCAATGACTTCAACTTTTTTTTGTTTTGATTTGGATCTAAAAGAACTAACTATCTTATTCCCAATTTCATTTTCAATTACCTGCCTTGTGATCGGTCAAACACCTTACCAAATTCAAACATTATCTGTTTCTCTAGTTTTCACTGTCATTTGTCTACCTGTGAAGATGCTAGTATCATCATGAGAAACATCAAGGATAGAACCTCAGAAGATGAACTCCATTTTCAAGATGGTAGCATTCTTCATGTCATTTCCGGAAACTGCAATACCATCACTTAAATATCATTAGTTATGATTGTTCTTCTAATAGTACACTCAAACGTGAGCAGGTTGATGCCTGTGTTGGCGATATTCCAATTGTCCTTATGGAAGAGAAGCAGCTGGATGCAGAGGTGGCAAAGGCTAAGCTTGATATATACAGAAAATTCCATTGGCCACCACATTACAAGGATTTATCATTTGTGATTGCTATTGCATTTAGTGGAAATATTGTGATCTTCAATAAATTAACTTGTGGAAAAATATATGTTGATGAATTGCATTTGAATCTTTCATTTGTTGAAGACAGAGTCAGGTATTGTATCTGTTTCTTTACAAATAAAGATTTTGCATACTTTATGATTAAAAAATTCAATGATAGATGCATCCAAGCTTGCTTTAAATATTAGTCATTACTGCAAATGCACATTTAAATAAGTTGGACCAGAACCATTATATCCATCTAACAAAATAATCAGATGTGAAATTGAACCATCAAGTCATTGGGGTTCTCATATCACAATCAATTATTCTTCAGTATTAAAGGTTTTCTTTTCTATCAATGATCTGGAAATCCAAAGGTCAGTCAATCTTATATGATGTGCGTTTTGCATTCATGTGATGAAGACCTACTGGTTATTTTGTTAATTAATTGAAGAATACAAAACTTTTATGTGAACAATAATATCCCTTTTCTTGAGACAGCAATAAGAAACGAGATCAAGAAAAAGGTGTTCCATCTTGAGCTCACACCGGTTGGTCTTCCATGTTCACCTAGTGATCTTAATACTCTTCAAGTTGCCATGTATTGCTTTGTTCATGCCCTTTTGAAGGTCCACCAAAATGGTTGGTCTGTCATTGATCTCAGATGTCCTAACACCATAGAATTCAATGGTTGCTATTGTATTATTGATGCTAGTGAATATGCTATACAACATGAACACAAATTCACAGTAAGCTATTAAATAAATTTGATGAAAAATCAATGGTGAGTTATCCAGCTAGTGATATCTACATGTTGAAAGAGATGATGAAGGATGTAGAAGAAATTTGGAGGTATAATTCAGTTTTGTGAAAGAATTGGATAAATGCTACTAAAACAATAGTCTTGAGTTAGTGTTAAATCATGGATTTCTTACTGCACCACTGATGATGGAATAGATGTAATTTAACATAGAAAGAAATAATAATAATATTGAGATTTTTATTTTTAATTTGGGTTTTATGATGTAATTTTTCATATCTCCCACTTGTGAACCAAAAAAATATATATCTGAATTCAAGGGTTGAAGTATTATTTATAATTTTGTTTTGGCAAATAAGATTGTAATTGTTCAAAAATAAAACACCTTTATTTTACTACAAAAACTACAATTTAATCATTTCAAATTTCTTTAATATTAAAAAAAAAACACGACTTAGCCAATTACCTTAGACAAAAAAATTTTACACCCCAAGAAGTAAAAGGCAAACTAGAAGAGTTTAGAATTGCCAAACAAAGGACTTTGAGCTAAAAAGAAAGAGAACAAGACAAGAGTAAGTATTGTTTTTTTTTAAAATGGTGGTTGTGTGCATTTTCATCATTCTAGTTTATTATTAAAAATAGATAGATTAATGAAAATATATCTAATGATTGTATCATTGAAATTGTTGATTGGCCTGGATATTATTACCAAAGTCAGAGCCAGAATTAATACTAATACTAGATTTACTTAGGAGTTATTTAAACAATTATTAAACAATTATTAAAGGCGTGAAAAAAATTCTAATTTTGGAATAGAACATTTTTTGTCCGATATAAATATTTTGAAAATCTTGACAACTATTTATTAGTCTTGGAAATCTTATTTATTTTGTCAAACATGCTAACCTACAGTTTTTCAAAAAAGGAAATCTCCAACATATTCTTTAACACCGTTTGTGTATATTGTTAATGGATAATGCCTGCTTGTATACAATCGTTTAAACATTGTGATCATTAGATGGAATTTCTTCAATAATATGAACAGAATAAATAAAAAATAAATAATGAATGTATATTAATATTAATAATATCTTACACATTATAAATATATATCCCATTTCATTATGTGTTTTAACCTGTAAATATAGCAATAACATAATAGATATTATTATTATGATCTTTTAGAAATGTCTAACAGTGTGAAGAAATATATGAAAGAGGGTTGATAAAACGTTAAAAAAAAAAAAAAACTAAATAATGTTAATAAGCTTACCACAAGTGTAAGGGAAAGGAAACGTGATTTATTAATCTCAACAGTTCATATAAAATATTGACAATGTAAAAGATCAGTAGTATTGTATAATAACAAAGTAAATTATAATAATAAAAATATAATAAAAACATTAACAAAGGTACCTAAAATCATAACAATTTCAGAAAGATTTACTGTTTTCAACCTATAAACTTCACTTCTTGTTCATCTCTGCAACTGAACTTGATGGACTTGATGGGAAAGAACTTTCAGTATA